GATTGTTCTAGAACAGTTTAAGAAACTTTTCATCACAATTGTTAGTTATAATGTATATTAATGTGAACCTGGTGAAATAGCACTGGTTCTTATAATACGTACTGTCAATTTTCCTGTTCCGACATGCATGTAATATATGATACTGGACGTACTCTAATGATCCCCAAAAAGCCTATTTGAAGAAATATAAAGAAACTTCAGTTCGAAGAGACTGATAGTAGTTGTATTACGTCTGATCAGCTAGAGGGTGACGGATGATTTTTAAAAAATTTTGTCCCCTGCGTAACGTGTTGCAGGGGACACGAAAATACTGGGTGTCCGACGGTGTGTTCGTCCCTGTATCCGTCCGTCTGTCTGGTCTTGTTAGCACTCTCACTGGTACAATTCTTGCCAGTATCTTATAAAACTTATACTATAGGTTAATATCAGCATTATCTCGGACAAATTCTATAATGGTGGCCGATCGACTTTTTTCAAAAGAGTTATGACCCTTGGAAATACTAAATTTATGGAAAATGGCCTTGTTAGCGCTCTCACAGTAACAACTCTTGCCAGATTTTTGTCGCAGTATGTGAGACATAGGTATAACTATCTGGCGGCGGCGGCGTAAACTATTTGTATAAAGCTTTATATTTCAGAAGGTAGAAGACCTGGATGCTTCGTTAATTCATACCTTGTATGCAGATACCCTATATTACAAAGTTTCCGTCTGTCATATGCCCATTGTCCTTGACCTCATTTTCATGGTTCAGTGACTGCTTGAAAAAAAATTACAGTTTTTTTGTAATGTGAATTTCTCACTTATTATGAGTAATAGGATAACTATATTTCTTATATGGGTTTCTTGCAATGCTACATGTCTGTCAGATAGGGTTAACCTGACCTCGACCTCAATTCATGGATCAGTGATCAAGGTTAAAGTTACATGATTAGGTCCGTTTCTCAGATACTTCAAGCAGCAGGACAACTATATGTGATGTATGGAATGATTGTAAGGGGTACATGTCAGACTGGCAGGTTTCATCTGACCTTGACCTCATTTTCATGGTTCAGTGGTCATTGTTAATTTTTTGTGTTTTGGTCTGTTTTTATACGACCGCAAAAATTAAAAAATTTTGGTCGTATATTGGTATGACGTTGGCGTCGTCGTCCTCGTCATTTTCGTCGTCGTCCGAAGACACATTGGTTTTCGCACTCTAACTTTAGTTTAAGTGAATGGATCTCCATGAAATTTTACCATAAGGTTTAATACTACAAAAGGAAGGTTGGGATTGATTTTGGGGGTTATGGTACCAACAGTTAAGGAATTAGGGGCCAAAAAGGGGCCAAAAGTAAGCATTTTTGTAACTTCCAGACATAACTTGTGTGTTAGTGTATGGATCTCTCTGACATTGTACCACAAGGTTCCATATCACAAAGGGAATGCTGGGATTGATTTTGGGGGTAATTGCCTCAAAATTTTAGGAATTAGGGGCCAAAAAAGGGGCAAAAAACAAGCATTTTTCTAGTTTCATGATAATAACTTGTGTGTAAGTGTATGGATCTTTCTGAAATTGAACTACAAGGTTCCATATCACAAAGGGAAAGCTGGAATTGAGTTTGGGGGTAATTGCCCAAAACGTTCAGGAAAAAGGGGCCAAAATGGGGCCAAAAAAAGCATTTTTCTAGTTTCCAGACAATTACTTGTGTTCAAGTGTATGGATCTCTCTGAAATTGTACTGCAAGGTACCATACCACAAAGGGAAGGCTGGGATTGATTTTGGGGGTAATTGCCTTAAAATTTTAGGAATTAGGGGCCAAAAAGGGGAAAAAAACATATATTTTTCTAGTTTCAAGACAATAACTTGTGTGTAAGTGTATGGATCTTTATAAAATTGTACTACAAGGTTCCATCTCACAAGAGGAAAGCTGGATTTGAGTTTGGGGGTAATTGCCTTAAATGTTTAGGAATTTGGGGCCAAAAAGGGGCCTAAAAACAAGCATTTTTCTAGTTTCCAGACAATAACTTGTGTTCAAGTGTATGGATCTCTCTGAAATTGTACTGCAAGGTACCATACCACAAAGGGAAGGCTGGGATTGAGTTTGGGGGTGATGAATCATAAGGGGGTTCAAAAAATTTGGGGGGGGGGGGGATTTTTTTTTTTCCTTTTTTTTCTTTTTTTCCTTTTTTTTTTCTTTTAAAATTTTCCATTTTAAGTTGGTTATTTCTGATTTATATTTAAAAGTAAATGATAATGATATGGTAGGAGATACACACCAAACAGGATGTGTAAATTATTATATAATAAGTATTGTGCAATAGCAAGAAATTTTCAATTGCACAGTATTGCACAATAGCAAGAAATCTTCAGTTGCACAGTATTGCGCAATAGCAAGAAATCTTCAATTGCACAGTATTGCGCAATAGCAAGAAATATCCAATAACACAATATTGCGCAATAGCAAGAAATTGTCAATTGTACAGTATTGCGCAATAGCAAGAAATATTCAATTGCACAGTATAGTGCAAAAGAAGATACTTCGTATAAATTGCTTATTTCTTGACCAATTTCAATGGGGTTTTATTCTTGAATTCTTGGGGTTCTTTAATATGCTGAATCTAACCGTGTATTAAGTTTTTGGATTTTGGGCCCCGTTTTTAAATTGGTCCACATTGAGGTCCAAAGGGTCCAAAATTAAACTTTGTTTGATTTCATCAAAAATTGAATTATTGGGGTTCTTTGATATGCCGAATCTTACCGGCTATTTAGATTCTTAATTTTTGGTTCCGTTTTCAAATTGGTCTACATTAAGGTCCAAAGGGTCCAAAATTAAACTTAGTTTGATTTTAACAAAAATTGAATTCTTAGGGTTCTTTGATATGCTGAATCTAAACATGTATTTAGATTTTTGATTATGGGCCCAGTTTTCAAGTTGGTCCAAATCGGGGTCCAAAATTAAACTTTGTTTGATTTCAACAAAAATTGAATATATGGGGTTCTTTGATATGCTGAATCTAACCATGTATTTAGATTTTTGATTTTTGGGCCCCGTTATCAACTTTGTCCACATTGAGGTCAAAAGGGTCCAAAATTAAACTTTGTTTGATTTCATCATTGAAAGGGATGGTTAGGATTGGCTTTGGGGGGTTATGGCTCAAACTGTTTAAAATTAGGGGCAAAAAAGGGGGGAAAACAGGGGTTTCCTGGTTAATGGACAATTACTTAATTATTGGTCTTTGGATCTCTATGAAATAGATATTGGACCATTAAGCATTATATAAGGGATAGCATTCGATTGATTCATGATATTTTACAGTATAAAGAAGAGAACAATATTTAAAGAAATGTTGTTTTGTCTTGAGGTGATTAGCTGTTAATTTATTTTTAGAAGTTACTATTAAATGCTGATGAAGGTATATTGATTTTAGCCATGATTATGTATGTCATTTTCTATTTCAATACTTTTATGATGTATTTAAATGGGTTTTTATGGTTGCAAACTCCATTGGAAATTTGAATTGAGATTATTTTTCTTCAAGATTTAAAAATGTCAATTTTCCAAAGAAAAATTGTGTGTAAAAATTGCTAATTCTTTGTATATCCTCTGAAAACAGATTTACAAAGTATTGCGCAACAGCACAGTGTATTGCACAAAAGCAAGAAACTGAATATAAATTCAAATCATATAACCAATTCTAAGTTCTTTGACTACAGTTATTCTGTGTCAGAAACCTATTATGTGTCAAATATTTAATTACAATCCAAATTCAGACCTGTATCAAGCGCGAATATTGTTTCCATTTTTGCCCCAACTGTTCAGGGTTGGACCTCTGCGATCGTATCCAGCTGCGCTTGGCGAAGCAATTTATTTTAAAAGAGTTATGACCCTTGGAAATATTAAATTTATGGAATATGGCCTTGGTAGCTCTCTCACGGGTACAATTTTTTATAAAACTTATAGTATACTATAAGTAATGCCCTTGAAGGTCTGTTTGAAATATTCAGTATACAATAAAAAAAAAACTTTTTTTTCCCCCGTGCACGCTTTTTATTTATAAATTGTTTTAAAGAAAACAAGAAAAAGTGTGTTTTTTTTGTAGTTATTGCCCTTGGATAGATAAAATATGTGCAACGCGGGGGACATTGGAATGCTGTTCTTTTATTTTATCAGCAAAGGTTTCCAACTTAATTGATTAATTTATTTAGTTACATTGTGGGGGAATAAACCATTACCGATGTTGCAGTTATGCATAAATGAAAGTGATAAGAGAAAATATACAAACGAAAAGTCGCACATTTGGTAGAAAAAGTCTCACCAACTATAGGATTTCAAATACAATTGTCATTATTAATCGAAATGACGGACGGAGTCACTTTAAAATAAGTGCATGAACGCAGTGATAAGAAGGGGTTATTCGACTCCCTAGAAAATGTGTATGTGCCGCAGTTGCATAGTATACATCATAAATCTATTTTAAGTTTATATTTTCCTGTCATTTTTGTCAAGCCTGCAACTTTTGTCGTAGAAAGCTCGACATAGGGATAGTGATCCTGCGGCGGCGGCGTTAGCTAACTTTTTAAATGCTTTATATTTTAGGAGGTGGAAGACCTGGATGCTTCATACATTGTATATAGATGCCTCATGTTACGAAGTTTCCGTCAGTCACATGTCCAATGTCCTTGACCTCATTTTCATGGTTCAGTGACTACTTGAAAAAAAAGTTAAGATTTTTTGTAATGTTATATTCTCTCTTATTATAAGTTATAGGATAACTATATTTGGTATGTGCGTACCTTACAAGGTCCTCATGCCACTTGACCTCTACCTCATTTCATGGATCAGTGAACAAGGTTAAGTTTTGGTGGTCAAGTCCATATCTCAGATACTATAAGCAATAGGCCTAGTATATTCGGTGTATGGAAGGACTGTAAGGTGTACATGTCCAACTGGGAGGTGTCATCTGACCTTGACCTCATTTTCATGGTTCAGTGGTTATAGTTAAGTTTTTGTGTTTTGGT